GTCAAGTTGGTTCCCACTCGTGTGGGGTTCCCATAGAGCGGCTGGTAGGTTAGAATCGCCAACCTTACGGTTAGCAGTCTAATGCTTACCTAATGGCAACACACTAAAGAGTATACTAAACTGTCAACTTTACAAGGATGAATTTTATGGTATGTGGATTACATCTCAATTTTTAAGAAGAAAGAAAACCAAGAAAGGAGACCAGAAGTGAACATGCTGGTGATGATCTGATTAGGTGATGCTGACTGCCCCGAATCCACTGCCCCAAACAAAGATGAAGGGAGACTGCTGAAGACCCGACTAAGACCTAACGGCACTAATGCGGACCAAGCCCAACCCAACCCAACCCAAATCAATGCTTCTAACACAAAGTGGCCCTATACAGAGTTTCCGAGGCTGTAAATCTTTACAGGAGCAGATAACCTCATCTTTCTCCCAAGGAGTAGCTGGTGGGTTTTAACCATCACTCCTGTAGTTAGAAGTCCAGTTCCACAGTGCCACACCAGGGCTCCAGGGTGTGGGGAGGCAGGCAGGCAGAAGACTCAAGAGGTCTTCTGAAGGCACAGTTGGCCATTCTGTATAACTAACTGGATGCAGGCGGCTTAAAAGAGGCCAAAGAGCGCAACACGGTGGTCTCCTGATGCAATGCCAGAGGAGAAAGCAGAGTTGTTCACCGAGTTAATGCAGCTTTCCCAGAAAGAGAAAGTGGAATGTTTATCCGGTTTCCGAGGAACCCTGGGCAATCATCGGAGAGACAGATGGACACACAGGTTGGTGTTCCGGAGAGAAGTAAAGTTGTTCTGGGTTGGAACGGTGGGCATGGGACTCAGGGGCACATACACAGTGGGTGAGATGGCCCAGGGGGTTCTGATGGTAGGGACCATGAGTGACCTTCAAGTGAGCACAGAGGGAGGAAGAGCAGACACGAAGGGAAGGTTCACAGACAATTGGAAGAGATGGTGTCCGGAACATAAAAAGGAGAAAAATGCCAGTGAGGATACTGCTAACCTTCAGATGTGGCCAGAGGTCAATGGAGGTTAGGGCAGGGAAGTGTCCATTGGATTTGGTGAGTAGGCGATTGCTAGTCTTTTTGGTAACAAATACATATAATAGAGCATTTACCAATTCAACATGTTTCGCGTAAATTCAGAGACCTTAATTACATGAATCATGCGTGACCATCGCTTGGATCAACTGCCAAATTTTTCATCACTATTAACAGATAGTGGAGCTCTGGTAGCGCAGTGGTTACGAATTGGGCTGCTAACCTCAAGGTCGGCAGTTCGAAACTACCAGCTGCTCTGCGGGAGAAAGATGAGGCTTTCTGCTCCCATAAAGATTTACAGCCTCGGAAACTCTGTACAGGGTCGCTATGGGTCGTAACTGACTCCACGATACTTAACAACAACAATGAACAGATATTCAATGTTTCCCAGGGAGTGCAGTGGCTTCATACAGTAAGCACTGGACTGTGAACGACAAGGTCTGCGGTTTGAGCCCACTAGCTGCTCCACTCGAGAAAGATGAGGCTTTCTGCTCCCTTAAAGATTTAAAGTCTCGAAAGCCCTATACCGGGTGGCCGTGAGTCACAACGGAATTGACAGTACGTAACAAGAACAGCCAATGTTTCCCACGCAATGGCACCTCCTCAATTCTTCCGGTCACCCCTGGTAACCAATACACTTTGATCGATTCAAGATATTTCATGTAAGTGGGAAAATATGGTACTGGCCATTTGTCACTGGATTGCTATTGCTATAAAGTGCCATCAAGTCAGTTCTGACTCACAGCGACCCTGGATAGAGCTTCCGAGGAGTAGCAACCTTGTGGTCCACAGTCCAGTACTGATCCACAGCGCCTTGCCTCCATATCATGTTTCCAAGGTTCATTTCTCTTTATGGCTGAGTAACATCCCATTGTCTCTCACATACCACTTTTTTTGTGCATGTATTCATCTCTTGATGGGCATTTAGGCTGCATCCACCATTTGGCTCCTGTGAAGAGTGCTACATATGTCTGTCGGAGCTACTGCTGAATGGCACACTGCCTGAGTGATTTCTATTTGATGTTCAGAGGACAAAGAATTACATCATACTAGGGCTTAATTTAGGCCAATGTCAGCTTTCAAGCTGAATGAAACAGATAAAACCAAAAAAAAAAAAATGAACAAGATAAATATTACAATCCCTGCCTCCGGCATCTGAGCCAGACTCCCAGGTTTTGTTCAGCCAAGTCCTGAGTCAGTCTCGGCCAGGGCAGGACACAGCCTCAGGATTGACCATCTGGCTTCATGACAACGACACTTACAGAGCTTTTTATATCTTTTTAATAAAAAAAGGAAATGATTCAGCTCTACAGTTCAGGAAGAAAAAGGCAGAACGTTCACTTGTTTTTATTATATGATCTTCAAGATGCGAAATGTGCTTTAAGAAAGAGGGTAAAAGACATGAGCCAATGATCAGTTGCCTCTAGCTAGTCTTCAGTACTTGATTTCTCTCCCAATTACATGTGCTGTTTGTTGCATTCAACACTTCTCTCAAAGAACACGCCTTACTTTTAAGATCACCACAAAAACAGTCTAAAAACTGGTAAGGCTGAACAAAATGTTTTAATCAAACGTGTGCACATGGTAAGCAGGGAGAATAAGAATAAGTATTAGAAGAACTGGAATGCACAGCAAACAAAAAAGAAAAAAAAAAAAAAGGGTATACTTTTCAGATAAAGGGAGTATTATCTAAAGATAACCAAGACAAGGTGATAATGAAAGCGTGGAGATATAGATCTACAGCTGTCAAAGAAATTGACAAGATGATACAGACATCACACATCATTAGGAACACAGGAAAGGCTAGTCTTTGTGGGAGGGGTTTTTAAATACCATCATCAGAAAGATTTAAGAAAATAAACTCATCGTCTAGCTAAATACACAAAATTGATGTGTGGCAGGAATTCAATTCCACAATTATAGCATGTGTCTGTGTGTGGCAGGGGGACTTTTCAACTGCGCAGAGAACACTTACGAAACTCAATAATACTAGTCACAAGACAATATTCATAAAGAAAGATATTAACTTCTTTTTCCGGTTAAAAAGAAGGCACTTTGAGACAGAAAAAAGGTAGAGGTACTGATTCAGAAGGAAAAGAACCAGCGTGAACAGGTTAACACAGCCAACTCGCCTCTTAGGTATCTCCAAGGGGAGGGAAGGATGAACGGGGATTTACTTCAAGGCCTGACAGAATCAAATCACTCATCCCATGTTCTAATCCACTGGAACACTAGTGGTACTGTGGGTTAGGCATTGGGCTGCTAACTGCAAGGACCATGGTTCAAGCTCACCAGTCGCTTCTCAGGAGAAAGATAAGGCTGTCTGTTTTCATATTGATTTACAGTCTCAGGAACCATATACAGAATTGATTCTATGGCCAGTGGGGTTTGGTTTTCTAAACATCTTTAAGTGGAGCCCAGGCGGTGCAGTGCTTAAATCACTTAGTTGCTAACCCACCGGCCACTCCATAGGAGAAGGTGTTTGTAGTGGGCTCATGTAAAGATTTACAGCTTTTGAAACCCCCTGTAGCAGTTCTATCTGTTCTACGGGGTCACTATGAGTTGGAATCAAAGGCAAGGGTTTTGGTGTCTCAGTTGTAGAATTCTTCCATGTGGTTCAATTCCTGTCCAATGTCCCTCATACACAGCTACCACCTGGTTGTCAGTGGAGGTTTGTATCTTGCTATGATGTGAATACAGGTTTCGGCGGAGCTTCCGAACTAAGAAAGACCTGGTGATCTACTTGTGAAAATCAATGAAAACCTCATGGGTGACAGTGGTGTGATCGTCAACCAACCACGGATGGTGTGGGTCTAGGCAGGATTTTGCTCAGTTGTGCATAGTGTCACTACAGTCAGATCTGCTAAAAACAACAGTGATAATCTTTGGTCATCAGAAGTTAAGCCTCTTGCCTTTAAAGCACCCACCTGCTGGCCTTGTATATACTAAGCGTGTGGGAGTTTCTCCCTGCAGGCACTACAGTGAATTCCATGGCTCTGAGCCCACACAAAGGCACATTTAGCAGTCCTAACACAGTCACTACCAACATGGTGCCTTCACCTGACATCTCTCCAAAGACCTCAGTGGAGTTCTGTTACTGCTGTTCAAGATCTGCTTCTTTTCCAATTTTAAAAGCAAGCCAGCAACCTTAACAGAGCTGGACTCCAAAAGACCTACCAACCCTGTGCTTTTCTACCTATGGATGGGAATTCTGATGGAAGATGAGCAGTTCCCACTCAAGGGCAGAATTTAATTTTTCATTTTTGTTGGAAAAAGACGATGGTGGTGAGGGAAGCTCAGGTCTTCAACAGCTGCTTTCCGGTCAATTCTGACTCCTGATGATTCCAGGGATGTCAGAGTAGAACTGTGCTCCAGAGGGTTTTCAAGGGCAGATTTTTTTTGGAAGTCAATCACCAGGCCTTTCTTCTAGGTACCTATCAGTGGACTCGAACCTTCAACCTTTCAGTTAGCATGCGAGGGTACTTGCACCACTCAGGGATTCCACTTTAGGGAATATAAGAGGAAACATTAACCTAAACACATAACCTGTAATTTATTCTTAAAACCCCAAACCTTTGAGCGGATTCCCATTCCCATTGACCCTGTAGGACACAGGGCAGCTGCCCCATTATGGGAGCAGACTGCCAGGTTTCTCCCTCAGAGTGCCTGGTAGGTTCGAACCACGAACCTTTGGGTTAGTCGTCTAGGACTTAACCACTGAAACACCAGGGCTCCTCAATTTATTCTTAAATGCCCTAGAGAACTCAAGGAAGAACAGACCAGGATGGGTGCACGTGTCATCTTCTTCTAAAACATCTCCCACTCCCCAGAGACTCTCCCGGGACCAGGACACAAAGGTGCTTGGGTCCACGTGTGAATGGACGTGAAGGCCCCACCCGATCTCGCATGCTTGTACCTTCCTCTCCAGGAAGCATCAGGCTGGCCGCCCCCATACCTTCATCACTGTTGTCATCCACTAGGATGATCTCCTTCAGCAGATGTGTTGGCGTGTGATTGACGGCACTGTGGACCGACCGCAGGATCACTGACAGGGCCTCGTTCACAAAGATGAATATGATAGAAATCTGGGGCAGGTCCTTGGAGTATTTCAACTCCTTGCACCTAGGGGAAGAGAGCGGTAGTCAGGGAAATGGAAGGTACAAGAAGAGTCCAACCCAGTCACCCTACAGGTCCCCTGAGGACTTCATCACCAGTTCCCTCTTGATCTTTTGTGGGCCAAGAACTGAGAATCAAACTTAGGGAGGAATGTGAGGCTGATTGTCACCAAGAACTCCTCTTTGTTGTTGTTGTTATGTGCCATGGAGTCGGTTCCGACTTATAGCGACCCTGTACAGGGTTTCCGAGGCTATAAATCTTTACGGGAGCAGAAAGCCTCATCTTTCTCCCATGGAACAGCTGGTAGTTTCGAACTGCTGACCATGAGATTAGTAGCCCAATTCGTAACCACTACACTACCAGAGCTCCTTAAGGACTCCTCTTAAAGATGTTTAAAACACTGTCCCCTTTACCATGAGACCAGAAGAAATAGATGGTGACTGGCTACCAAGACTGAATGTTTTTATTAAAGAGACAGTAGACAAATTCTGATCAAAAGGAAGAAAATGAAGAACAGAAATTCAATTTTTCACGAGCTGCCAGATTTTTTGGAGCTACAGAGGCTGAGTAAACCCTGCTCAAACAAATGCCCTGGTACACGCTTTAAAATGCAGCCCCAAAATATCTCCTGGCGTCTTCTTTAAACCAAACAACAATTTAGTTTAACTATAGTCCTGGTGTGGCGCTGTGGGTTAATGCACCAGACTGCAAAGCAGTTTGAACTGCAAGGTTCATGGTTCAAGCTCACCAGCTGCTCCTAGGAAACCCTATACAGGGTTGCTATGGGTCGGGATCGACTCGATGGCACTTAACAACAACAACAGTAAACAATATCTGCCTTGATCACTATGTGCCTTTAAGAATGCTCTATAGGGGAACAAGGAGGCATGGCATGGCATGGCATGGCATGGCATGGCATGGCACTACAGGATAAACACTGGACTGCTAATCTCCAGGTAGGTTGTTCAAACCCACCAGCTGCTCCTCAGAAACCTTATACAGGGTCACTGTAAGTTGGAACCAACATGAAGGCACTTAACAACAACAATAGAGAGTCAAATTGAAAACAATGAAAATAATTAGAAAGGAAAATTAGGGGGCTGTAAGTTTCTGGTAAGGGGGGAGGAACTCTTAGGAAAGAGAAGCTGAGAATGGCGGAACAGTTCAAAGAATGCCATCAATGCCACTGAACAGGACACGCAGAAATGACTGACTTCTACTGTGCACATTCTCACTAACAAGCAAACCAGACCCACGGTCACTGAGTCGGTGCCTACTTATAGCGACCTTATATAGGATTTCTGAGACTGTATACTTTTATGGGAGCAGACAGTCTCTTCTCGTTGCCACAAAGTAGCTGGTGTGTTTCAACTGAGAACCTTGGGGTGTGCAATTCAATGCCAAACCCACAGCAAAAACAGTAACAAATAAAGTTAAAAAAAATTTTTTTTTAATTGAACCTGAAAACAACTCTAGTAGGAGAGCGTTAAGGGGTCTAGCCCCACCTCCTCTACATTTACAACCCCAGTGGAATGGGACGCACCTGTCTTTCACGCATGGATATCTTCTAGCCCATACACGCCTGCATACCTATCTGACTCCTGATTCTCAGCTCTCGCATTTTCTTGCTGGGTCTGCTTTGCTGCCAGTGTACAAGGCAATTCACCTATTCCCCACAGCTCTCCTCAAAGACTGCTGAGAGGTGATGTGTAAATGCCCCGGTGCCCTTACCCCAGGTTAACTCTGAGAAGGGGGATTTACACTGGCCCCCACGTGGCCCCAGTGAGATTCCACGCATGCTGCCCACACACTATGCTCTTTTGGGGATCCCTCCCTTCCCAGTCCTATTTCCCCACTCTCCTGCAAGCACTCCCCTCACCTCTCAAAGAAACTCTGTTGTTGTTAGTTACCCCCGAGTCGGTCCCCACTCATGGCGACCCCACAGACAACAGAACAGCTGGTGCCTTGTCCTATACCACCTTGGATCTGCTCAAGAGCACTCTTGTGGCCACAGTGTGTTCTGAGCTCCTTCCAACCTAGAGAGTTCATCTTCCAGTATTCCATCAGACAATCTCCCATTGTCATCCCTAGGGTTTTTATTTCGTTAACTTTCAGAAATCAGTTACCTGGCCTTTTCACTAGCCTGTCTTTGTCTGGAACTTATTTGAAACCTGTTTATTGAGAATCCCTGCTGCTGTCTGAAATACCAGTGACAGCTTACAGCATCACAGTAACATGCAAGTCACCAAAGTAAAACTGACAGATGCTGGTGGTGGTGTTGTTAAGTGCCATGGAGTCGGTTCTGACTCAAGGTGGGTGTGAACCGTTGACCCTCCAACTTCACAGTTAGCAGTCCTGTGTTTATGCTATAGCGCTGCACCAGGACTCCAACGTACAGAGGGCTGGTGGTTATATAAAGCTATCTATGCTCAAACCTTTGTATCCAGGGTTTGTTTTGAGGGGTCCCCAAAGTAAGACATGTACTGAACCTGCTAAGCAGCAGCACTGGACTGGAGCTACCTGCTCACACAGTGCTTGCTTACCTTCTGGGAGAGGATAGCCAACACAGGTGCAAATGGCCTCTGGGGGTGGGGGAAGGGGGGGCGGCTACTTGTTCTCAGTTGCCTTTGAACCATTCTGACTCACTGCAACACGTGTGCGTCAGGGTAGAACTGCTCCATTGGGTTTTCAAGGCTGTGATCTTTCAGAAGCAGATCACCAGGGCTAAGTGAACCCCGAATAGCTTCCAGCTGGCTAGTAATCCAGCACTTACCCATCTGTGTCACGAGGGACTCGAATTCACCATCCCCTAACTCCCCTTACAAATCTCCCTGGAGTCTCTTTGGGAGTAGGAGACTGGGCTACCTGCCAAGTGGTCTCAAACCCAACCAGACTCACTGCTGCTGAATCAATACTGACTCACAGGGACCCTCTAGGCCAAGTGGAACTGCTCCTGAGATTTTAGGCTATAAATTTTTACAGGAGCAGAGAGCATCTTCTTTCTCCCTAGGACAGCTGGTGGGTTCAAATTGCCAACCACACAGTTAGCAGCCCAATGCCGAACCCATGGTGCCATTAGAGGTGCTAATATACAGAGTTCCCCATATCCCTAGAGACAGAGATTAAAGGAAGAATCTATCTCCCCAGGACCAGAGGGCTGCAGCCCTCCAAAGCACCTGAGGAGATGGAGTCCCACCAAGGCATGAGCTCTGAGCTTCTCAGCTCAATCAGGACTGTTACTGTTGCTGTTTCTAAGTGTTGTTGAGTCCATTCTGATTCACAGTGACCCTGTATAGAGTTTCTGAGGCTATAAATCTTTCCGGGAGCAGAAAGTCTCATCTGTCTTCTGCGAAGCAGCTAGTGAGCTCGAGCCACCGACCTTGTGATTTGAAGTCCAGTTAAAAAAAAAAAACTTATCCTACAGTACTCATCCCAGGAGAAAACCCTGGGGAGTTTTGTTTTATGCTCAGACCAAGCCCTATGGGAAATCCCAAGCAGAAGTCTAGCAGGATGGAAGACGGAGATATGCATCTTAATGCATTCTTCTTCTGTGTGAGCTTGCACGATATATAGCACAAGGAGACAGGGAGAGAGGAGCAGAGTGTTGACGAGCAAGAGAGACGGCTGTTTTTTATGCCGAGCAGCTTGGGCTGTCTCAGACCGTATTAATCATGCAGGCAATTTTCGGGAGAAAATAAAGTTTTGTTACAATATACATTTTGTCTCCTGGAGGAGACTGCCCAGGGACCCATTGATCACCCAGCCTCATTTTTACCACCGAGCTGTAAATTCACTTCTGGGGGCTGCCAGGGAGATTAGGAGAGTTACTGACGGGCTCCAGGGCAGTTAGCAGGAATCACCTCAAATACTGAGTGGGGATCCCGGTGGGGAGGACACTCAGAAGGATCCTCCGTCCCCTCAGCCAGAGGCCAGCTATCACCCGGGGCCTGGTGGGGTGACAGCCACATTTCTCAACCCATTATTCATCGTGGGCACGTGAGGCTCCCACTACATACCCGTCTGCTCTAAGCTGGTTTTCTGTGCCTGTGTTTAAACAGCTTCAGCTGCAGGCATTTGCCATTGAGTCTATGGAAGGGGACAAATAGTTATGTGCGCAGCTGCTAAGCCCAAGGTTAGTGGTTTCAATCTACCCAGAGGAACCTTGGAAGACAGGTCTGGTGATCTATTTCCAGAACATCAGCCTCTGAAAACCCGATGTAGACACATATGAGCAGGAATCAACTAGAAGACAACTGGAGGTTGCTTGTATGCCAGAAATGACTAGCGGCTTCTATATTCTGTATTGGCTCATGTAATTCTCACAACCACCTTATTGTCCCCATTTTACAGATGAGGAAGCTGAACTACAGAGAGGTGAAGTACTTAACCTAAATCACACAGCTTAGAAGTACAGTGAAGTGCTGGTACCTTGGTGGTGAACTGTATCATGTGATAATGGTTTTTAACTGTCATTGGTGCGGCCCCTAATTCAGGACAACCCAGGGCAAAACAAAAGGAAATGCAGTCATGCACCAGCCCCATGATAGATTGTGGATCGGGCCATTGTGGTCCTTTAGATTTTTACTGGTTGATTTCTGAAGTAGATTGCCAGGTCTCTCTTCCTGGTCTGCCTTAGTCAGGAAGCTCTGCAGTACCCCATTCAGTATCAAAGACACATACAAGTCTCCATAGACAGACACTGTCTATGAGTTTTGTCAGCCAGACATTGAACCCAGGTCTCCTGCACAGATGTGGCCCCTGGAAGATTTTATACTATTCCTGATGCTTCGCCTGGGTGAGACAGGGCATGCAGGTTGCAGAAGACGATCCTCACAGCTCAGCCACTTCCATCTGAGTCTCAGTTTCCTCATCTCTGCCTGGAGCCAGGTCTCCGGGGCCAGTGTTGTGGTGCTTGTGGTCAGCTGCAGGCAAGGTGCTGCTGGGATTCCTGGGACAGACCAGGCAGGTGATAGCTTTTGTGGGATGTTGGTGGGCAGAGGCCAGCC